ACTAACAGATGAAGATTAATGCAGATCCTTTCCCATTCTCAAGACTTCATACTTGGCTAGCCTGACTCCTTGCATGGATTCTGCATGTTTGAACAAGGAGAAACTGTTTTTGGCTCATGATGTGCTGAGATCTCCTTTGTTTTCTGCAGCACAGTGGTGATTGATAGATCTTGCACCCATGCCAGTGCCTGGAGCTGAAAACCTGAGGATGCTGGGCAGGCTACAACTAGTGAGCTGCGTTGCTCTTCAGCATGCTTCGACCACCTAAATTAGGAGAAAGAAGAGGCATAAAAATTTACTTTTTTTTTCTGAAATACTGAGGCAAACAGTGTCTCTTTCACAGCAGCAGAGTCCACACTGTAGTTTGAACAAACTCGCACACCCCCTCTGACTCCTAATATTATTCTCACATTACATGGAGGCCAGACGAGCGTCATCTGTGAGCTAGAGGTGTCATTTGATGCTGTCTGAATGGGGAAGGCCAGGCTGCCACTCACTTTCTTAGCAGTTTTTGCACCAACATGATGCAATCAAGGATGGGCAAGTAAAATGGCCATGAGGACATACTTGGGCAGCTGGCATTTATAGGCCACCTTTTCTTGGATTTTCTTTGTAACACCACAGACTGGTCCTATTTCCACTTTGGTCATCCAAAACTGGGAGGACAAATCCTGCTTCCTGATGTGACTCCCTCAAATGTTACAGGTGTATAGTGAAAAAGAGGAAAGGAACGACAGAATCACAGAATCCTAGAATAGTTTGGTTGGAAGGTACCTTCAAACGTCATCTGGTCCAACCCCCTGCAATGAGCAGGGACGTCTCCAAATAGACCAAGTTGATCAGAGCCCTGTTTAACCTAACCCAGAATGTTCCCAGGGAAGGAAGATCTACCACTTCTCTGAGCAACCTGTTCCACCACTCTCATTGGAGATTTCTTCCTTATATCTAGTCTGAATCTACCCATTTTTAGTTTAAAACCATTCCCCCTTGTCCTATTGATACAGGCCCTGATAAAAAGTCTGTACCCATATTTCCTATAAGCCCCTTTTAACTACTGAAAAGCTGAAATAAGGTCTCCCTGGAGCCTTCTCTTCTTCAGGCTGAGCCACCATACCTCTCTTGGCCTGTCTCCAGATCACTTCTGTGACCCTCTTCTGGACATGCTTTAACAACTCTTTCATGTGCTTGAGGACTCTTTTGATGCAGCCCAGGATACAGTTGGCTTTCTGGGCTTTGAGCACACACTGCTGGCTTATGTCCAGTTTTTTAACCACCAGTACTCCAAAGTCCTCCTGTGCAGAGCTGCTCTCAGTGCCTTCTTCCCCAGCTTACCTTCATCCCACAGATACTGGAGGTTACCCTGAGCCAGGTGCAGGACCTTATATTTGGCCTTGTTGAACCTCATGAGGTTCACATGGGACAACTTCCTGAGCTTGTCTAAATCCCTTTGAATGGCATCCTGGCCCTCAGGCATGTCAAAGTGCATCACTCAACCTAGTGTCACTTGCAAACTTGCTGAGGGTGCATCGATTCCACTGTCTGTGTCACTGATGAAGATATTAAACAGCACTGGTCACAATACACCCACCTGAGAGATATCACTCATCACTGATCTTCATCTGGACATTGAGCCATTGATCACTACTCTCTGGATGTGACCATGCATCCAGAGGAGCAACTGTGAAGACACGACCCATGCAAGACACCTGACATCATTGTTGCTTGCCCTTTGCCTGCCATTTTCCTACTCCGTTCCTGGAGGAAGGACAGTGGGAAAATGTATGCAATTTAGTTATCATCTATCCACACAAAATGTGTGCCCAGAACAGTTTTCCACCTCTTCATGGTCCCAGAGTGGTACCAGCAGCAGTCTGCTGCAGCTTTTGCTCTTGCATGGTTCTTTCTGTTTTCATGCATTTTTGCTTCTGCTCCTCTCTCCTTTCACCGTTCCACTTGATCTTGAAGCCAGCAACCATGCAGTGAAGGGGGAAAGTTTGATTCAAGTGGCTACTGAAGAGATCCCAGACCAGAAAAATGATCCACAGCAATACTGGGTGACTCTGATGATCCTGAATGCCCTAAATCTTTTACCTCCTCCCCACTGAAAGAAAAGTAGGTAGATAGGAACACAATGTAGGTCCTGATACCACCAAGTATGGTACTGTACTATGGGTGATTTCACCAGCAGTGCTTGGAGGGGTGTCAAAGATGTCTCAGTGATTTCCCCATCATTGCCACCACCTTATCAGCCAGTCTGACTGGAGCATTAGTCCTGGCAGAGGCTGCAGAGCAGGAGGGTGTTGGAGCTTTCCTCGCCCTCTGCATCATCACTCCCTGCTCAGGGAGTTGCCGAGGCCAGGGAGGGAGCTGGGTCTCCCCAGCTGTGCAGAGCCAGGCCCAGGAGCAGAGATAGCTCTTCAGGTTGTGTTGTAGATGTGTGGAAATAATGCTCTTCTCAGTGGCAAACAATGATAGGACAAGGGGCAATGGGTACAAACTGGAACACAAGAGGTTCCACTTAAACTTGAGAAGAAACTTCTTCTCAGTGAGGGTGACAGAACACTGGAACAGGCTGCCCAGGGGGGTTGTGGAGTCTCCTTCTCTGGAGACATTCAAAACCCACCTGGTCACGTTCCTGTGTAACCTTATCTAGGTGTTCCTGCTCTGGCAGGGGGATTGGACTAGATGGTCTTTTGAGGTCCCTTCCAATCTCTAACATACTGTGATACTGTGAAGTACTGGGTTATCACCTATCTAAAGGCAACACACAGCAGAACAGCAGGCATGCTTCCACAGCCACCCCAGTGACTTGTAGTAGCCTGAGAGGCTCAGCAAAGCTGCAATCCGCCTTTCCTCTGCTCCATCCCTCCTGCTTCTCTGCAGGATTAGAGAGATCTAAGTCCTATTCCTACCTGAAAATGAGCGCTCACACTGCAACCAACTTCAAATGCAGTGACAGAAATAACCCTTCTCTAATCCTTCTTCTCTGAGAGGAACTGAGTCTCCTTTCATCAGGGAGCCTGCAGTCTGACTGCCTCTGCCTTGCCTAACCCTCTGCTTTAACATGCTTCATACTCTATTTTCATTCCTTTTCTTCTTCACCTCCTAGAAGTTTCTGCAGTTGTCACGACTTTTCAAATATTCCTACCTGCCTTTAAATCGGCCTCATTTCCACTTCTTGAACTGTTCAAACTTTCAGTAGTGACCTGTCATGCCAAGTCTATTAACATCACACAGCGGCAGAACTAAAGAGTTCTTCCTCTGCTCAGCACATCACCATGAGACCCTCTGGGTTCAAGAGGGTGATGAGCAATTGAGACTCATGCTCAGAGAGAAGCAGTGCTGACACACTGGGTGCTAGAAATAAGTATACAGTTGTAGCTGTTACCTGAGCAGTGTCAGATTCACGGCACAATCCGCTGGGAGAGGTGAGAACTTCCAGAGGATAGTTCGACCTCCTTCAGACATGTACTGTTTTCTGTTTGTCACCATTTTCTCAGTCTCATTTTATCTACCTCCTTAAACATTTCTGCAGAATTAAAGTTTTGTTCAAGGTGGAATTTAAGGTAAAATATCCATGCAAATTAGATTAGTTCTGGATTGTTAGATCCCTTCCCAGTTTCAGAGCAAACACTGCCAAACATTATCAGGACTGCCAGCACCTGATGAACAAACCACTATTATCCCTGCTATTGTAGGCTTGTCATCTCCCGAGCTGTAAGCAAACAGCCAGCATTATTCTGCACCAGTTAAATAACATCATTTCACAGGTAATTTACACTGAGGGAAACCACAGCAACAGATGTTCTAATACTTGAGAATAAAATTTCCAATATAAGAAAGAACTCTCAGAAGTGGCATAAGCAAAGTTCCATTAATGCAGCTCAACGGCAGTTTACACTGATTTTGGGCTTAAATTCATTGAGTAATCAAATTTGAGCACCAGACTACTTTACCAGGTGCCTTATTGCACCCAGGCTGCTGACACTACTCCATGCTCTCCTGCATCCAAGGCCTCAGCAGCAACTACCCAGGCATGCCTGCACAAAACAAGTGTATTGCTGTCGGTCATGTTTTAGGACAGTGCAATGGCTGTGTTCAGGAACATACGAGCAAAGCTGTTATTCATCTTCTGCATGACAGTGATCAGAGATTTCACCTGGGGGGAAATCCCGTTTTCTTTATTTCCTTTGCCTTCTCCTCCCCAAAACCTGTACCCACAGCTTCTGTATGCTGGAACACTTTAACCCGCTACAATACAAAGATATTCCAGGTGAAAAACCTCCCACAGGGGCTATAAGGTTGGGAGACAATGCTGCAGGCTTGAGACTGTGAATGACGGAGGCCTTCAACCCCCTGAGTTTAGAGAGAAAAGCATGAGCAAATACCTGCCTTGGCAGGCTGTGGGGGTAAGAGCCTTTCCCTGTCACATTAGTGGGTTGTGCTGTCCCTCTGTGGTCCGTCGGGATAAGGTCATGGTGGTCAATAGCAGGGACGTCTCTCCTGGTAAGGCAATTTGCAGTGTATCCCCAGTTACCTCCAGTGAAAATGAAGTGTGTCCCAAGAGGGCACAGCCTTGCCTAACTAATTAATTACTGTGTGGGGATGTGCTTCAGGCAGCTTCATATATTGTACAACAGGCGGTTTCATACAGCATTGAAGCTATATCAGTGACTAAAATCCTACTGTCAGAGTCTGCAAAGAGCCAGCTGCCATGTCCATATGCACAATCATGGTGGTATTGCCTTTCAGTGTCCCAAAGGACGCACAACCATTGGCCAGGGATGTCAGGACACAAGGTCACATAAATCTGAGCTGCACAAAGAAAGCCCATCAGCTGAGCCAGACCACTGCAATGAACCTACAGCTCCCAACATTTACTATTCTGGGACAAAGCAGCCCTAACTGCTCCATTTAGACTGACTGAAAGGCTCCTATTTAAATCCAGACAGACACTGCTGAAGCCAACACAAGTGGCACAAAGACACGTGGGTGCCTGGCATTTTCCCATGTGGTGCTCCAGTTGCCCACTCAGAACATGTGAAACCCAACATTCCATTTACCAGAAATGGTCTGGAAGGGCTGAATTGCCTGTGACTATCTGTGGAAAAGGCCTCTCAACCCAAAGCATCGGCCCAAAACCCAGCACACAGAAATCCCCTTGCCCTGAAGTGGGGTGTGCCAGCCACAGTTCTAATGAACACAACCGGCAGAGTTGCCTCTCACTATGCTCAACAGCCAGTGAGCACAGACATTCTGCTTCCTGGACTGAGGGAGGCACAGGAGGAAGGTGTGATACCTCTCATGCTGAGAAGGACTCTGTATGCCCCCTTGCTCAGAGAGCACTTGCAGAGAGCAGAGCTTGGTGCTGGGGGGCTGCTGCATTAGCCCTCATTTCAGGGACTGGACTGGTTCCCCAAAACAGTTCCTGCCTTGAGGTTTGCAGAACAATAGTCCTTTCAATTAGCGGTTAAACCAGTATCTTTGCAAACTCTGGTTATTTCTGGTTTTCAACGGGCATGGATAATAGTTTGTTACCCTTTTTCTTATAAGCTGCTTTTAGAGTAAGTGTTTTCATCTTACAGAGCTCTTTTTAATGAAATACTTTGTTCTTACTGAAATGATGCCCCAGCTCATCTGAAAGCAGTTGGATTTCTATTCAGTTATTAATATGCCTAAGTATTGCAAACAAAGGGAAGATGGGTAAAGGTACTCCCAAACCAGAGAATTGATTGGGGTCTGCTTCCACATTCAATCTTCAGCTGCTGCAGCACAAAAACTAATCTTCCCTGTGAAACTGAAACACAAGAATCTAATGTTGTTTATGAGATTGTTCTCCTCAAAAGAAAGGAAGTGATGACCAAAGTTAAAGGAAGCACAGGTTCTGCCTCTTATCTCAGCAGGACACAACTCAGACATGAGGAGAAAGAAAGGATCACTACTGAACTTTAAAGCCTAAAAATAACTAAGCCAGAGAAAGGTCCAGAAATCTTTTGGTCCTTAGAGAGTTCAAGCCTTGTAGTAAGAAACAGCAAAATTACAGAGCAGTAGGTACAAAACAAACCCTGTCAAGCACAGTTGGAGCAGAGTCAGACGTATTCCTGCTGCCAGTGCTGGGAGCAGCAGGGAGTTTCAGCCTCCCCAAGGTGGCCATGTGTGCAGGGACAGGGACATGAGAGGAGGTGGCTGGGAGAGGAAGAGCACTGGGTTCTCTCCTGCTTTAGGCTCTGCCTTCTCCCTTTGCACTGCGGCACTGGGCAGAAGCAAGTCCCAGGAACACGCTGGACGCTGATGTTCGGGAGTGCCACATACCCACGTGTCTGCAGTGGTAGCTGATGCCTTGGCAACCAGCTGACTCTTAAAAATAGCCTGGAGGGAAAGGGAGAGGCAGATGCATTCTGGCTTTCACTCTGGTCCTTCAGCTGCAGGCTCAGGAGAGGCTGTTTCAGCCTGTTTAGTGAAGAGCAGGCTACCAAGACTAGATCCAGGGTTTTGTGCCATAGAAGTAAGTGAAATGAACATAAAGTAATCGATGAGATTCACAGATGAGCCTGGGCTGAAGTAGGTTCTTTTTATTTAATGAAGATGGGAAGAAGAGGAAGGTGGGCTTTAAGATACTTGATAACACTCTTTTCTGTTCCTGGAAGGCTCTTGTCTGTGAAAGTGCCATTTGCCAGGAGCAGAGGTGTGAAGAAAGGCACAGAAAAGCTTTCAGGGCCATTCACTGCAATGCCATAGATCTCACAGACCAGAAGGAAACCTGTGCACAGGAGAGCCCATAGCTATTAACAGCTAAAGGTAAATGCGCAGGAGAAAACTACTGAGTAAAGAGCTTCTCATGAAATGAGCAACCTCAGGCAGTAGTCTGGGGAGGTAAGTGTTCCACCAGCTGGGAAGTGCAAGGTCCTGGCCTCTGGTCTCTGAGCAATGCTTGGACCCCCTCAGCAAACAACCCAGTGCCCGTGTGTCCCAGTGACACAGACACACTGCTCTCTAGAAGCCCTTTTCTAAATACTTGACCTCCTTAGCCAAAAAAACAACCAGGGAAGCAGTCATGTTTCAGAGCAGCCCAGCCTGGGAGGTGGTCTGTCCCCGAGCTTCTGGCACCTAATGTCTCCATGTTGTAAGGAATAGCCTATGCTGGCCTAGGCAGCAGACAAGACAGCAATACCCCTGCAGAAGATTCGTGTTTTCAAAGCCATTAAGCTTTGTTTGAACTCAGCCAACACCAGACTTTAATGGGATCAGAACTGCATCCTGCTGGCAATGGCAACTAAACTATAAATGGTTTTACTGCATCTTGAAAAGTTCAAAATAATGTGTGAACACAAGGTCTTGTTATTAAAAACAATCTGGTCCGTATTTTTTCCACAGAGCCAGGTGGTTTTTTTTCCCAAAAGTATTTAGACCTCAGTTTGTTATTACCACAAGACAGGAAAGTTTAACAGTATTTAGAATAAACTTCCCTGGTCCACTTACAGCCATCCTGGCTGTAGCCTCCTTGTATAGACAACATAATTTAAATTAGAGAGAAGATATAAACGTGAATTTGGTTTTCTTCTGAAACACTGCATTTCAAGCAACTTTTAAAAGCACTTTCACTGCTAGCTTTTAAGAGAAACTTTATCACACTGAGATTAAAGGATTAGAATCTAAAAAGAGTTCCTAGACAAGCCTGAAAATTTATAAAAGAGGAAGAAACATGTTGGAAGGAGAAGAAAAGATCTATTGGGAACATGGCAATGACTGTTTCTAAAAACTGTAGAAGAGATCAATGTTCTCCACAGCCTGATAAAATGCTTGTTGCTTTATACACTATGATTTGAGAAACAGAAACCATCCAAAATGAATTTCATCTGGCTGGATCAAATGGGCTCTGCAGAAAGTTCTGTTTTCAGTTGCTTAAGGGCAGGGATTACACCATGTGTGTGTTCCGAGCAGATCCTTTTGCATAAACCCTGGTTGCCTTACAGCGGGAAAGTCTGCTCACCCCAGCAGGCACTCTGCCCAAGGGGCACAGTGCACTTGTAAAAAAGCATAATAATGAGCGATTACAGTTTCATGATACAGAGATCTTGACAGCTGAATCTAGTTTATTGATGAGATCAGATTAGAGGTTTAGGGCCTGCCTAGGTGAAGGAAGTTTTTTAGCTAATGAAACTCCAGGTAAATCCTGCAAGCATCTCAGGAAACCTTCAGGCAAATCTGACTCTCCTACTGGCACTACACTTCTCCCTCTGGACTCTGTTTAGCAAAGTACGTAAGTTACATAAATATATACCCAAAGCTAAGCAGGTAGGTGATGATAGCTCTGAAAATGAATAGTTGGGTTTTTTAATTTTCTGAGGCATCAGTCTTGCATGTGCCCAGGATAGATGGCATCCTATATGTGCAGGAGCTGAGCTCTGAAGAGGTGTGAGAAGCACAGATGCTCTTTGACAGTGCAGCCAGGGAGTCTCCATCAAGAGGACTTCACTAGGGTAAGCCTGTGAACCGCATGGTTAAAACAGTCTTGTGGTACCTTCTGCTTTCAGATGTCTTCTGCTGACATCTGAGTGGAGAAGAAAGCCTCTACTGAGTATGAAGGAAACTTTCAAACAGGAAAGGAGAACATCATCCAGCTGTATCCTCCACAGTCTACATATTTGTGGCCTTTCATTCATGCACCATCCAAAACATGTGACAGTAACAGCACTTGATTCCTCTTGGCCAGTTTCAAGGCAGGAGCAAGCATACCTGGATGGTCCCTGATGAAGACTTGTCTAACCTGCTCTTTAAGATCATCAGTGGAAGAGGTTCAGGAGCACCTCAGGCCACTCCTTCCACTGCTTCACCACTTTATGGTTAGAAATATTCTCATACTCTTTGTGTCAGCTTCAATGAACTGTGTTTTGTCCTGTGCTACTGGACAGACAGAGCTGCTTGCTGCCCTCCCTACCACACTCAGGAACTGCTGCCCATTCCTCTCTCCTCAGTCCTCTCTTTTCCAGAGTAACTTGTCTACCATTCCTTAAACCTCAGTCACAGCTGCCCATTCTGGACAGTAGCCAATCATTCTTAACCTCGATTTAGCACACAAGCCCAAGAATCATCCTCAAAGAGCAGAGCAAAATCACAGCTTGTGATGTTCTTACTGATACAACCGAAAATACATTCTATGCAATATAAACTCATGCTGGGGGATGTTCTTTTGGTTTTCTTTTCTTTTGGGGGGAGAAGGGCTGTTTTGCTGCCTCCTTTGCATTTGCACATTTTATCCATGCTTCCCAAATTCAACATTTTACTGCATTTATCTTTGTTGGTTGTGCTTTTCCCCTGACTTACAGATTCTGCTCTGAGTCTTACTGCTCTCTCAAGTAGGTTTGCAAACTTCCCTCCAGCAGCTTCATCCCTCCACAAGTGAAAGTGTATCCTCTACTCCACTATTTGAACTTGAAGTGAAAACCAAATTGACTAAAATTTCTGCAATCTTTTGTAAAGAAAAATTCATTAGAGAGTGAACTACTGACAGCTTGCCTTTGGGTTCTGTATATCAAGCAGTTCAGCACCTACCTGGTTATGATTTAATCTCTTTTACATTCTCTTTGCTTGTATAAAAGAACATCACCTGTCCATGACAATAGCATTTCTGAAGTCATGATGCAACATGCCAGCTGCTTCTCCCTGTTTACAGGATCTTGCCAAAGAAAGGGGTCAGGCTGGAGTTGTGTGACTTGGTTTTGAAATATCTACTTTTGATATATTTGCATTTTATCCTGCTGGTGCTTTTAAAGTTGTGAATAACTCATGCAAAACCCTTCCAGGTACCAAAGCAAATCTGACTGGTCTGTCTTCATGCACATCGTTAGAGTAATGTCTGTTTCCTGCTGTTGTCTGCTCTTCTCCAGTTTGCTGTGATCTCCCCTTCCACCCTCGTTGCAGACTCAAAGATAATTGCTAATGGTCCAAGGAGTGCTCCATCTGGTCCCTCAGGGTCAGTGTCATATGTCCCTCCCAGCTTATCTCATTTCTCTAATTTATGCCTTATATTTAAAACATTTAACCGACCTAAACATTTCAACACAGAGAAAATTACAGGGAAACATGAAATAATGGTTATTATGCTTTCATTTATCAGTCTGCTGACTCAGGAGAAGTAATGGAACTTTTATGTCCCATTACTTTCAAATAGAGATAAACATTAGATTTATTATGTCTAATGATAATAGTATGCTTATAACCCTGTTTTGAAAATAATGCTTTTGCTACAAAGGGATATCAGGTTTTAATTTCCTCTTTATGTAGCTGTGACACCTTCAAAGGCTATTCTTTATCTTTTATAAAGCAAAAATCTTCTGTATTTTTGCTTTTAAATCCAAACAGGGTTTTTTACCCAGTGGCAATGGAAGTTCATGATTTTGTTTCTTTCTCAAATCAATCAAATCATTGCCAAGGAAATAATTCTAGATGGAGATGGGTCAAGAGAAAATCTCTCACAGAAGATTGCTACTTGTAAAGCACATAAATTATAATAATTTAATCAAAAGCATAAAGTAGTCGATCTAAAAACCTATGCAAGTATAATAATTCAGTTCAAATGCCTCATCTTTCCTGTGCATATCTTCTACACTATTGTTAAAAATTCATTACTAATTAATCCCTAATATGGTTTCCCAGGACACAGACCAGTTGGCCACTAAAGTATTCTGCAAAGGAGGTAAGAAAGAATTGCAATTTGATAAGATTTGTTCTTCCATTTGCTTGTCACTTTGATATAAATGTGATTTCTCCTGGATATAGAATCTTCTATCTTTCCCCTTTCTGCCCTGCTCTACTGCTCTAGGAAGGCTTGCAATACTTAATCCGTGCCTAGGTGTAGTTCCACATCCTTTGGGAGTATTTTGTCTCCAGGACCCTGGTCCCAAGTTCAGTGAATAAAACCCAAGAATTTTTGGAGAGAAAATATTACATTTTGTTTTGTTTTGGGTTTTTTTTTGCAGTTAGAAGTGGTTGTAGATACTAGCTGGATTATGAACTAGTTTACTATTGAAATTGTAGTTTGTGTTAAAGTAAGGAAATCCCATATTAATAACATCAAGGAAAGACCTGACTACTCTGGGGGTAAACCTAATGCATCCCAGAAATTCCAATTGCTTTACTTTTGTTCTTACTAGTACTCCTATGAACACTTGTGGTATATCTGCCACACCTATGCCTGTGAGCTGTATTAACAGATTTGCCCCAGGCTGTCTCCTGAGAGGTCACATTGTCCTTCTCATTGTCCATCTATCCTCTGCATAATGTTTTTCCTTGGCCCAGATTTTTGTCTCAGAGCTATCCAGTGCCCTTCACCCAGGGCTGTCCAAGGTGTTAGGTTTGAAAATAAGCTGCAATAAGAGGTTGGCAGAAATTCTTCCCATTTCAAAGACAACTGAAACAAGATGGATTTGTTGAGTGATTTGCTCCTCGCTATCAATCCCACTCTTAAAAATCCAAACACCCACCTCCATTGTTATCCTCCAATTCGGCTTCTAATGACATGTCATTTCAGTTTCAAGGGCGACCCATGAATGTGCAAGACCTATTTTTGCCTAAAAACTTTGAAGAAAGATGTAAGGAGAATAAAACTTGAATAAAATTACAAAATATAGAAGAAGAAAAATGACAAAAGTAAAAGCAAATGTCCCAGAAACACAGAATTAACCAAAAGGATCTGATGGCTTATGATTAATGTCATTGAGAGAAGTCATTTTTCCTTTCAGGAATGATATAGGAGAAAGAATAAACTAAAAATAACGGAATAGCAGAGTTATTAAGCCATTGTTTATGTGGTTTTAAAAGCAGAGAAGGACAGGGTGTTACCTCAGCTGGTGATAAGGTTTCTAAAGAGAGAGAAGCAGGAAAATAAGGAAGTCTGTAAGAAATTCCAAAACAGCTTGTCAAGGCTTCAAGTCTCTTGGTATTGACAAGGCATTAAGTGCACACAACAGCCGTCCCAGGGTGCAAAGGGAAATGGGGCAGGACAGGGAGAGGTCCAGCAGGCTTCTTTCCAAGGTCATGTCCCTGTGTGCCGTGGACAGATCAAATAGACACAAATGAGTCAAAGGCGCCAGCAGCTGCCACAGATGTTCAATGGCAGCAGTGAAGAAAATCCCAAAGTTTGCAGAAATACTTTGGGAAGGGCTGGAGCAGGGAGGTTGTCTGGTACCAGGAGAAAAATCTAGCCGTTCTGCATCCTGGGGAACACCAGGAAATCCCTTATAGCAGTGGTGACTAAGCTTTGGCAGCATGAATATGCTTTTCCTCTTTGCTTTTTCTTCCTGGATCTAGGAGAGGTTGGCCAGAATGACAGCTCACAAATGCACAATTCAGCTTGGAAAAGCATCCAAATTTAGGAAAAAAACCTGGAAATTTATTTCAATCTCACTGAAGTTAAAGGAAGCAGACTTGTGTGGTAAGAGTTTTACATGAATTCCCAAATTGGAGTCAGCTTAATTTAGTTGATAAATTTTTAATCAAATAAAGCATTTCAGAACTAATCAAATGCAAGATTTATTACTAATATGAAATTACCAGACAATTTCTCTTTTTTTTTTTTTTTTCCCCCAGATGATTACTTATTCTGACATGAGAAGTCAGAATATTGATGATCAGGTTTAACAGCAGGTTACCTAAAGGGTGCCTCTGACTGTTCCTATTTACCAATCGGCTTTGGCTTTTGAGCAGAATAATAAAAAATAACTGTATAAAAAGCACTTTCAGAAATTCAGACCAGCAATGCTTTTGTGCTGAAATTCTAAAATACTAAATCACCTCTTACTTCCAAATAATTAATTGTTACCAACAATCAATTTAATAACTCTAAAGAACAAACATCACAGTGCAAGTGACGTCGTGGTGATACATCCTCCAAGTTATTTGTACATTCACATATCTTACTGAACTTTGTAACATAAAATTCATCATTTCAGGTAAGAAGGTAGCCTTGTCCCCAGAGGCTTTGCATTTTTCTTCCTTATTGAGCTACCATTGTAAAGACGTATTGCTGTAGAAGGGCACTATTGATTTTCAGAAGCTCTTTGGAAAAGTAGTATCTTGGCTTCAATAAAAATTGAACAGCATAGTATAGCAATATGTCTGGAAGAGAGCTGAGATGGTCTGCATTTAGCCTCTAACTGACTAAAGAAATAAGGCAAAAACCTGGGAAAGTGTGTAGAAATCCAACTGGGACTTGCAGTTCTAGTCTTTGTTAAGCTTAGACCTACAGGTCTGAAGGAATCTCCCTGGCTGCTGCCTCTCTGTGGAGGTACCTCAACTGCATGGGCAGCTCAGGATTTTATCTCAGACTTACTGAAGAACCAGAACTTCTTCACCAAATGACTAGATACATGAGTTTAGCTGTGCTCAGCCCACCTTATGCCTAAGCTCACTCATGATTCAAATAGCAGATGTGCCCTTGCCCTCCCTGGCTGGCTCAAGGTGCTAGGGCTGCTGCCATAGCAGACTCTTGCCTCTGGTGCAGCATCTGGAACTCATGAGAGATGAGTTGAGCTCTGAGTTGGAAACTTTGTCCCTGGGTGACGTGGAGGTTCTTGATGTTTATTGTCCTGTCCGATGGATAAGGCTACATAAACCTCTGAGGTAAAGAACAAAGTGAAAGTCTCAGACAGGATTTCTGACAGTTTTAAAACTTTTTCCATCAGGCTGTTTCCAGCAGACAGAAAAATCCTGGCTGAAGAGTAAAGGCTCCTGAACTAAATAGCATAAAAAGATGCCTTTTATTATCTTGCTTCAAAGTACAGATCATGACCATTAAGTTACTCAGGGCTACAAGTTCCAGATCTCCTTTCCCCCACAACTTTCATCTACCCAGCAGAGGAAAAAGCTGTAACAACTTCAGCATTTAGCACAAGCTAATGCATCTTTCTCTAGAACAAGCAAAACCCCTCCACGAAACCTCTCCAAACAACCCCCAGACCCCAATCAGTCTCATTTCAGCATCTGTGCGATGTGCACAGTGACAGATCAGAGGCGGTCGTGTTTGTCAGCCATCTCCTCATTGACATTTAGATAAGAGCAGCCTTCCCCAAGCCGGCCACCAGAAAGGAAAAGGTCTGCACTCCACACACGCCCGAGCTGGGGTGTGAACTGCAGCTTTCCAATGTGCTGGTCTGGAGGCTGGGAGCAAGCCCCCTCCCGCCTGCACAAACCTGTGCTAATGTGATAAAGCTAAGCCTGCGGGTGTCTGCTGACCCCTGGGCTCCTGGAGAGGCTCTGCAGAGTGGCGCCAGGCTGCTGAAAGCACTCCTATCTGCCAGAGAGGGGTGGGAAACATATCTGGTTGCTCAAAATGCAACATGCAGGTATCCCTCTGCCATCCCACCAGGCACCTGGGACAATGCTTGTGGACAACCCCATTGGTATGCCTGGGAAACAGACACCTAGGATGAGGGCACATATCCTGCTTCACGCAGCATGGCTGTAAGGTCACCCTGGGTGCCAGCCTCCCCAAACACACATATACACACCTACACTGTGGGTGTCAGTGTCCTGGACCCCACCCTGCCTTCTGGTATGCTTTCAACCTGAAACTCCCATGGTCATTCTCTCCAGCGCGCTGCTCTCTCCCTGTTCTGCTGCTTTGCTCTCATGGAGTTTGTTGAATGTTAGTATTTTTATTGCCTCTGCACCAAATCTGGCTAAAGCTGCTGGAAAAAGGTCCTGGTCCTAGTCACACATGGAGCAAGAGAAGAAACATAATAGGTATGTTGATGATGCCCCAAAAAAATATTTTCACCTGTATGGCAGGCAGGAACATGCGGAGGCAAAGCAGCGAGTTGAGGAGTGAGGGGAGGTCATCTTGGTGTTTACCCTCAGCCCCTCTCATGTAACTTCAATGGGTCCATGGCAGCCTGAGCTGGTCTCAGGGTCTTACAGGTGTCCTGCTCCCTCCCCGCCTCCTTCACCACCACGTATGGGTGCTCATCAAACTTCTCAGCAGCCTCATCCAAAAACCCCCAAATAAATAGTTTGTATTAGTACTCTAAAATAAAATAGCAACATTAAATAAAATATTAATAAATATACAGACATAAATAAAATAGCAGTATTAGTACTCTAAAATGGCTCAGGCAGACTGCAGTGACAGTGGAATATGGGTCTACAAGAGAAGATGATGGTAAGATTTTGGGATAAGGCAGAGGGCAGGGCCTGGGAGCTGGTTATTAAAGGGCTGGGGTCCACCACAGCAACTGTGAGAAACAGGAGGGGAGCCTGGGCACCAGCAGCTCTCACACGGGTGTACACAGGCAGCATCTTCACTGGTCTCAGAACTGGAGCCGGTAGCCAAACAGTACGAAACAGGGAGTTGGATAGTTTCACACTTTTTGCAGCAGACAACTTTCCACTTTAAATGCGAGTTTGATTTCATACATCAGATAAGACTACAGCCAGTTGGGCTCCATAGAAGGAGGTTACATATGGAAGTGCAGAGGAGCATAGATAAAATATAAACTATCCAATCTAATATATTAGCATATATTTGAGTGATAAATGGCCATTGCCTTGTGAACAGCTTGCTGCTACACCAGCATTCTGCAGCAGCAAATATATAATATGAGATATTTTGACAGCATGTGTGGCTCCCCCGTAATTTGGAGCAAGCCATGCATCACTTCCAAACCTTCATGAGGCTCAGTTGAACTGGCCTTGTGAGGTGATGGCCACCTTCTGAATACCTTCAGCTCTTCTTTAAGTGAGCAGAGAGGGGTTTGCATGCCCTGGGTGTGCATGGACATAGCCAGCAAAGGCTGGTTGACAGATGATGCTGCCTTCCTCAGCAGGACCGTGTAGTGCTCCCTGCCTCCCTGCCTAGAGCTTCAAGTACACAGAGAGGTGAGGCTCATCCAGCAGCACATCCAGCTCCCACCCCTCAGGCTCCCAGTTAATATGTGTGATTGGGAAGAGCAGGTGGAGGCAGTGAGCATGCAGAGCGCCTGAGAATGTCCCTGCTGTCAGTGGTGACCGCCATGCACCAGCTGGCTTGCCTCTCTCAAGGTACTTGTCACCACGGGTGGTAGCACCAGACAGATGGCCCTGTGCCGGGGCTGTCGGCCCTGCAGTCTCTGTGGTGCTTTTGAGGAAACTGATGAGGAGAGTGCCTGCGTGTATCGGCAGTGATACCAACAGCCACTAATGCCGTCAGCAGCACTGGTGGCTGCCTGCAGTGA